ACCAGTATTTACCCAAGTCTTTCCTAAATCTAAACTTATCCAATTTATACCCATTGTTTCGTGTTCTGTCTTGTGTTGATACTTTTAATACCCTATTAATATCCCCTTTGTTATGTCCATTCACCCACTTGTAAACCTCTATTATGACACCCCTAACTCTTCGCCTTTCCAGTGAATGCAACTTAAGCTTTGTTTAATCTTTCTTCATATGAAAGATTTCTAATTTGGGGAACTAACTTAGTCATCCTACGCTGGACACGTTCAAGTGAATTTATATCCATTCTATAATATGGCGACCAAAACTGAACTGCATAATCTAAATGGGGCCCAACTAGAGCAAGATATAGATTGAGAACCACACCAGGTGTCTTGTTACTAACGCTGCGATTAATAAATCCAAGTGTCCGATTTGCCTTATTACGAACATTTATGCATTGATCCTTTTGTTTTAAATTCTTACTAATCATAACTCCCAGATCCCTTTCGCAATTCGACTTCGCAATCTCAACACCATCTAGCTCGTATCTTGTAACCCTATCATCATTACCTAACCTCAGAACTTTACATTTATCAGCATTAAACTGCATCTGCCAATCCTTCGACCATTTCAAAACCCTATCTAGATCAACTTGAAGTGATAGTGAGTTCTTCTCCGAATTAATTTCCTTACCGATTTTCGTATCATCGGCAAATTTGCAAATGTTGCTACTCAAACCTGAATCTAAATCATTTATATATATTATAAACAACAGAGGTCCCAGGACAGAGCCTTGAGGCACCCCACTTACAACATTTTCCCATAAGAACTAATTTTGTTCCACAAATACCATCATTTGATGCTACAGATGTAGGTATTACTGACCTTTTCCCTAAACTGGTGAAGAATAATCACCTTGTAAACTCTAACAACCTATTAAGACATTCACCTGAACACTACATTATATATATATATATATATATATATATATATATATATATATATATATATATATATATATATATATATATATATATATATATATATATATATATATATATATTTGGTGTTGACGTTACATATGTACAGCTGGGAACTGCTGAAACAAAAAATCATAAAAATATATCAATATATTCGATTATATGACTTGCCACGGCGCCTGAAGGCTGGGTTGACAACGCTTCGGATTCGTAGTCCTGAGGTTCCGGGTTCAATCCCCAGTGGAGGTGGAAACAAATGGACAGAGTTTCTTTCACCCTGACACCCCCTGTTACCTAGCAGTAAATATGTACCTGGGAGTTAGACAGCTGCTACGGCCTGCTTCCTGGGGGATGTGTAACAAAAAGGAGGCCTGGTCGAGGACTGGGCCGCAGGGACGCTAAGCCCCGAAATCATCTCAAGATAACCGAAGATAGCTATATCCCCAAAAGGTTCGGTGGATGGTGGTAGACTGACTCATCACAACACAGGGATGGTGGTAGACTGACTCATCACAACACAGGGATGGTGGTAGACTGACTCATCACAACACAGGGATGGTGGTAGACTGACTCATCACAACACAGGGATGGTGGTAGACTGACTCATCACAACACAGGGATGGTGGTAGACTGACTCATCACAACACAGGGATGGTGGTAGACTGACTCATCACAACACAGGGATGGTGGTAGACTGACTCATCACAACACAGGGATGGTGGTAGGCTGACTCATCACAACACAGGGATGGTGGTAGACTGACTCATCACAACACGGGGATGGTGGTAGATTGACTCATCACAACACAGGGATGGTGGTAGACTGACTCATCACAACACAGGGATGGTGGTAGACTGACTGATCACAACACAGGGATGGTGGTAGACTGACTGATCACAACACAGGGATGGTGGTAGACTGACTCATCACAACACGGGGATGGTGGTAGACTGACTCATCACAACACGGGGATGGTGGTAGACTGACTCATCACAACACGGGGATGGTGGTAGACTGACTCATCACAACACAGGGATGGTGGTAGACTGACTCATCACAACACGGGGATGGTGGTAGACTGACTCATCACAACACGGGGATGGTGGTAGACTGACTCATCACAACACGGGGATGGTGGTAGACTGACTCATCACAACACAGGGATGGTGGTAGACTGACTCATCACAACACAGGGATGGTGGTAGACTGACTCATCACAACACAGGGATGGTAGTAGACTGACTCATCACAACACAGGGATGGTAGTAGACTGACTCATCACAACACAGGGATGGTGGTAGACTGACTCATCACAACACAGGGATGGTGGTAGACTGACTCATCACAACACAGGGATGGTGGTAGACTGACTCATCACAACACGGGGATGGTGGTAGATTTAGAGATAAATATAGTTCTACTCGTACAACGAACATGTTCGCCACTAACTGTGTTAGGCAAAGTCTGATGAAGGAGAAAAATAATGTATTTAGACTAAGAAGTTAACTTTAAATCCGTTCAGTGTTGAAGTGTTTATTGGTCCTCGTTCGAGGCTCCTACTGCAGGCTCTTAGGCGTATGTTAGAATTTCGGCATATATGGTCAGGTACTGGAACTGGCTACGTTGTTCGGCGCCGTGTGTGTGTGTGTGTAATTACCTAAGTGTAGTTACAGGATGAGAGCTACGCTCGTGGTGTCCCATTTTCCCAGCACTCTTTGTCATATAACGCTTTGAAACTGTGTGCGTGTGTGTGCGTGTGAGTGTGTGTATATATGTGTGTGTGTGTGTGTATATATGTGTGTGTGTGTGTGTGCGTGTGTGTGTGTGTGTGAGTGTGTGTGTATATATGTGCGTGTGTGTGAAGAGATAATTACCGAACCACACGACAAATAACGTTAGTTTTCAGCGATATAATAATTATATTACTATATTAAAAACATGTCAATTTCAGATTAAACATATTTAATATTACTAATTATATTCTTAATGATAGTGAAAGAAAACTTCATTACTGTAATTTCATTATTAAAATAAGTAACTTGTTCATGATAAAGATAATAATAATAATAATAATAATAATAATAACAATACTAGAACTTATGCCAACAAAAATTATATTAAATTATGCAAAATAAAATATAAACTAATAATGTTTAATATTGCATTAACAATAACTGAATATAATATTTAACAAATCTTAAATTAATGGTAATAAATACATAGTTCTTAGTAATAATAATTCTTAAATATTACTAATTAATTCTTTAATAATAATCTGTAAATAATTATTTATTAATTAAATCATTCTTTATTAATAATTAAATCATTTTTTAACAATAATTAAATAATTTTGAATTAAATATTTTGTAATAAATAGTTTTTAATAATTTAAACAATAATTAAATAATTCTTTAATAATAATAACAATAAATGTATTATTAGTCTTTAGTAATTTAATAAGTATAATAATCGTTAAATAACTTTAATAACAAGTTCTTAAATAATAGTAATAATAAAACAACTCTTAAATAATATACTTAATAACTGCATAATTTTTAATAATGATAAATAATTATTTAATAATTCTTAAAAGTAATCAATAAATAATTCTTTAATAATTCTTAATAGAAATCAATAAATAATTCTTTAATCATTCTTAATAGTAATCAATAAATAATTCTTTAATCATTCTTAATAGTAATCAATAAATAATTCTTTAATCATTCTTAATAATCAATAAACCTTTAACAATTCTTAATTGTAATAATTAATTCTTTAATAATTCTTAATTGTAATAATTAATTCTTTAAGAATAGTTATTAAATAAATTTAAAATAATGATAAGATGCTTCCATGTTGTGTAGAAGATGAGACCCTACCCTAGTAGGGGTGGGGGGGGGGGAAGTCCATCACAAACGTGGTATATGAGTTGGCCGTAACACGAGGCTGTTGGTGTTGGCATTCTGCACACACCTTCGCCTCCACAGCCTCCAGGTGTACCGTACAGCCTCTTTTTTCCGCGAAAAAGTGTTCGAACTTGCTAAAAAAAAAAAAGCATTCATTTTGAGGGTCTTTTCTGTCCTGTGAATGAATGTTCGAATTTGCAAGCAAAATAAAAATAGAACACAGCTTCCTCTGACCTAAGGGTTCGGATTTGGTTATTATACAGTAGACGGTTTTATACAGTAGCCTGGGTGTATTATACAGTAGCCTGGGTTCTTATACAGTAGCCTGGTTGCATTATACAGTAGCCTGGTTGTGTTACACATTAGACTAATCCTATTATACAATAGACGTTGTATTATACAGTAGTCTGGTTGTGTTACACATTAGACTAATCGTATTATACAATAGACGTTGTATTATACAGTAGCCTGGTTGTGTTACACATTAGACTAATCCTATTATACAATAGACGTTGTATTATACAGTAGCCTGGTTGTGTTACACATTAGACTAATCGTATTATACAATAGACGTTGTATTATACAGTAGCCTGGTTATGTTACACATTAGACTAATCGTATTATACAATAGACGTTGTATTATACAGTAGACTGGTGCCAATATTCAATATATTTTTTTCCCCTTGTGTAGAGGCAATGTTGCTGATATTTAATAAGAGAGTTTTTTCACTTTTTTTTTAAATATAAAAGTTTGACATATAGGTTTTGGTAAACCATTTTGGTTATGCCATTGTGCAGGCTGTTAGAGCATTTTGGTTATAATTATTGGCTACTGATCGGTTTATGGGTTAATGTGTTATTGTGTTGGGTTAATAATGTTATTTTTGGGGTTAACTTATTGTATTGATGTATGATCTGAGGCGTTGTGAATCCGTGTGGTGTATGTATACTGTGTTGTATTTATGTATACCTGTCGTGTGATGTGTATTTATGTATACCCTTGGTGTGATACACTTGTGATATGTAGTAGTAGTGTGTAGACCTGTGATTATACTGAAATACATGTAGTGTATACTTGTATACATGTAGTGTATACTTGCTTCCCCCCTTATACACGGTAGACTAAGACCCCAATAGTCTCTCCCCCTCCTTCAGGCATGCCCTTGGGACTCGGGTCGGCGTTCGCGGCCCTGCCTCCGCCTCCGTCCCTACCTGTCGACCAGAGGACACACGAGGGACGATACCTGTGGGACCCCGCGCGCCTGCACGCCCTCCACGCCCCGCACCCAGGGTGAGTACACGCACACACACGCACGCGCGTGTGCGTACCCCTCTCTCACGTGTCTTATGGCCTCCGTGTGAGTGCATATGCACGCGTTTCTCCGGCTAAATTGGTCTTATTTTTGGAGGGGTAGAGTGGGTGTACTCGTCATGGGAGTAGAGTGGGTGTACTCGTCATGGGTTACAATACTCCAGGGATGCTACATCTAGGGTACACTCATCCTGCCAGTCTTAAAAGAGAAGAATGCAATCCTCTTGAGACTTCCTTCAAGAAGCATGGCCACTGTCTTCTCCTTGAGCCACACACTTACACATTGTGTTAATCTTGGCATTTCTCTGGAGATGAATGTAAATACTTGTACTGTGCTCCTCCAGGCTCCTCCTCGAGTGTCTGGCACACACCTAATGTGTATCTTATGTGTGTGTGTGTGGGGGGGACTAGTTTACAAGGGGACTGACAGAGCGTCGCTGGGAGCTTGTTCTATATACGCAGTTGTTATACGCCGTCTCTGATCTGTTTTCGGGGATTTATGTATTATTTGAGGTAGTGGGTGTATGTGTGTGTTTGTACTTGTATGTACTCTAAGATGTACTCTAGTGCAGGCCGTACTCGGGGAGTAGAAGAACTCTAGAAATCTGCTACAGGTATTCTCTCCTGGGTGGGCTTGCTGGGTCGAGCGCAATATGCTTCAGCAGTATACTTCAGCAGTATATTTCAGCAGTATGCTTCAGCAGTATACTTCAGCAGTATACTTCAGCAGTATGCTTCAGCAGTATACTTCAGCAGTATACTTCAGCAGTATGCTTCAGCAGTATACTTCAGCAGTATACTGAAGTCCCTCGTTTGCAAAGTCTATACCCAACCACTTGGGGTGGACGGTAGAGCGACGGTCTCGCTTCATGCAGGTCGGCGTTCAATCCCCCGGACCGTCCAAATGGTTGGGCACCATTCCTTCCGCCCGTCCCATCCCAAATCCTTATCCTGACCCCTTCCTAGTGCTGTATAGTCGTAATGGCTTGGCGCTTTCTCCCTCCCCCTTGTTCTACTCTGCCATATACTGAACATTTCATCTCTTTCAGCCTTATCAACTCCCCTGAGAATCTTGTATGCCGTTATCACGTCCCCCAAGATTCCGCGTCCAAGTTTGGAGTGATTGATCTCCCTCAGGCTTTCCTCATAGTTCAAGCCTCACAGTTCTAGTACATGCCTCGTTGCCTCCCCCTGGCCTTATTTAGGCTGAGTCTGATGTTACTCTATGTGAAGGTTCTATATTGGGTCATATGCTCCAGAATAGGCTTCACTTGTCTCATCTACAATGAAGAACGTCTTGCTACGACGCTCCTACATGCTCTCCTTACAATAAAGTTACATGAATAAAATCAGTGATACATAATAATACTAATAAATAAAGCACTGAGCACAGTAGAACAGTCTCTAGTAGACCAGACCACACGCTAGAAGGTGAAGGGACGACGACGACGACGTTTCGGTCCGTCCTGGACCATTCTCAAGTCAATTCACGTTATTGTGACTCATCGCCTGCAACCCGTCCTCTTAAAAATAACGTCACTTTTCGCTGGTATGGGCGCTTACTGACCCTTCTTGAGGTTATCTTGAGATGATTCCGGGGCTTTTTTAGTGTCCCCGCGGCCCGGTCCTCGACCAGGCCTCCACCCCCAGGAAGCAGCCCGTGACAGCTGACTAACACCCAGGTACCTATTTTACTGCTAGGTAACAGGGGCATAGGGTGAAAGAAACTCTGCCCATTGTTTCTCGCCGGCGCCTGGGATCGAATCCAGGACCACAGGATCACAAGCCCAGCGTGCTGTCCGCTCGGCCGACCGGCTCCCTGACAGCACCCTTGCGGTGCTCCACGCGTCGCCTCCAGACAACCTAAGGCCTCGCATGTTACCGTAACTCTGTGTCCTGTCAGACAGGTACTCTCTCATCTAACACCTTTTCAGACAATTCTTTATTTTAAAGCTTACACAGAAGTAGCTAATTTGGAAATTCAGATTTGATTATAATTTATAGGATTCTGCAGGATGCAAGTAGGATTATGAGGTCCTATGAAACGGAATTTGCTCCATGAAAGGGGAATGTAGGGGAGTGTTGAGAATTGAAGAGCATGTAATAGGATTGGGGAGAGACCTTAATAGGATTAGGAAGAGTTGCCACATGAAAGGGACTGATTTTTGTTGTGGGAATTAAGGAAGGTATTTACATGAGAAGGGACGCTCGCCGACTGATCCCAATGTGTTGTTAGAAATAAGCCTATACACCTCGTAATTTTTATTTTTTTACTTATCAGGAGAAAGCGCCAAGTCATTACGCCTATATAGCATTTGCAAAGGGGGTCAGGATAAGGATTTGGGATGGGACGGGGGTGGGGGGGGGGGAGGGAAGGAATGGTGCCCAACCATTTGGACGGTCGGGGATTGAACGCCGACCTGCATGAAGCGAGACCGTCGCTCTACCGTCCAGCCCAAGTGGAAGGAGTAGAACATGGGGGAAAAAGTTCAGTACAAGGCAGAGAAGAACAAGAGGGCGTGGAGGAAATACTGGGGTACAGAGGAGTCACAGTTAAAGGAATGTAAATGATTAGAAGGGAAGAGAATAGATGCGGGTGAAGGAACTTGAGCAGCACTCAACCCCCGCAAGCACAACTAGGTGAATACAGAGAGAGAGAGAGAGAGAGAGAGAGAGAGAGAGAGAGAGAGAGAGAGAGAGAGAGAGAGAGAGAGAGAGAGAGAGAGAGAGAGAGAGAGAGCCCTCACCACCAGCAGCAGCAGCAGCAGCAGGTGGTACAGTCGGCCACCGCCAGGGGCGTCGTGTAGTATCACAACGACAACATCGGCTTCGATTAATTATACCGAAGACCGGGAAACTCGAGTCGTCCAGGGTAAAAACTGGTCGCTGAGGTAATGGAGACATCGGGGGGGGGGGGGGGCACAATTAGCTGTGTTTGTGCCACTAAACTTGCTTTATATATATATTTTTTTAAGGATGTATGATCATTTTTGTACTGGATGATGTTGATATTAGTATGGTGGTAGTGTGGGTTTCCACACCCACACACACACACACACACACACACACACACACACACACACACACACACACACACACACACACACACACACACACACACACACACACACACACACACACACACACACACACACACACACACACACACACACACACACTGCGCTGCGCTGCGCTGCACACACTGAGCCTGCGCTGGTCTAACTCCTAACTCCTGAGGCACATATAAATAGGATAACGACAGCAGCGTACTCTACACTGGCGAAAATTAGAACTTCATTCAGAAACCTAAATGAGGAGGCTTTTAGGGCGCTTTACACTGCCTACGTGAGACCCGTCTTAGAGTATGCCGCGCCATCATGGAGCCCCCACCTGAAGAAACACATAAAGAAACTGGAGAAGGTTCAGAGGTTTGCGACGAGGCTTGTCCCAGAGTTACGAGGGATGGGATATGAAGAGCGGCTGAAGGAACTGAACCTAACGACACTAGAGAAAAGAAGGGAGAGAGGAGATATGATAGGGACATATAAAATACTCAGGGGAATTGACAAAGTGGAAATAGACGAAATGTTCACACGTAATAATAACAGAACGAGGGGACATGGGTGGAAACTGGAAACTCAGATGAGTCACAGAGATGTTAGGAAGTTTTCTTTTAGCGTGAGAGTAGTAGAAAAATGGAATGCACTTGGGGAACAGATTGTGGAAGCAAATACTATTCATACTTTTAAAACTAGGTATGATAGGGAAATGGGACAGGAGTCATTGCTGTAAACAACCGATAGCTAGAAAGGCGGGACCCAAGAGTCAATGCTCGATCCTGCAAGCACATATAGGTGAGTACATATAGGTGAGTACACACACACACACACACACACACACACACACACACACACACACACACACACACACACACACACACACACACACACACAGGCCACGCAGCCTAAGAGCCCAGGTTCGATTCCCAATCGAGACAAAAACAAATGGGCAGGTATTATTTTCTCCTAATGTCCCTGTTTACTTAGCAGGAAATAGATGTGTGGAAGTTTAAACAGGTGTAACGACAAAGAGTTAGAGAGAGAGAGAAAAATATATGTAGTAGATATGATAGACGAATATACTGTACCACTCACGCATCAGGGTGTTACAGTGTATGTGAATGGTACACGGTATTCATCAGTAGACACCAATATATATGTTGAGATACAGGAGACGAATCTAGCAATCACTCATAGCTCTCAAAACGGTGAGCAAGCTAAGCTTTGCTATCAAACATTCTTATAAACATCGAGTTTGAAACATCGAAACATCAAACATCAAACCTCACTCTAATATTCCATATTTCCAGAATACTTTTCCTTCGCCTGTACCTCACTATCTTCTTAAAAAATAATTGGAGATCTTTATACACCATTTTACCCATTCCTTACATGTTTCTTCCCCTATTTTCGGTGCCATCTTCAGCTTTGGTGATCATTCCTACGTTACACTTCCCTTGTTTTGGAGGGGGGGGGGGGGGTGGAGTAAAGAGGAAGGAGAGGCATAGGTGAAGGGAAGTATAGAAGTGGGAAATACAGTGAGAGGTATGAAAGCAGGCGGCGGACTGTCCGCCTTGCTGACACGATGTGTGGGAGTTGGCAGCTAAGCTAAGCTGGCTCCCTCTTGTCAGGGAGCTGTGAGTGTGTGAGAGGTTCTTCACATGTGTTTCACCATATATAGATGTCTATAGATGAATACTGTGTAGCATTCATATATACACACTCAGATGCTTCCGCACATGTTGTTCTGTAAGGCTATTTATTTTATATATTATAATTTGTTCAATTATGGGGGAGGATTTCTGGTCAGTATTTCATCTGGGAATTATGTACTGTGGGACTGGGTTTTCCATCTAGTAAATCGAGGCTCTTGGGCCACCAGCTGTGGGAGCGGGGCGTCTCATCTTGGAGTAATCTTTC